ATATATACGAACACATTTGCACATACTCACTCTCTCTCTCTCTTTCTTTCTCTCTCTCTCTCTCTCTCTCTCTCTCTCTCTCTCTAACTATCTATCTATATACTTCTCTCTCTCTTTCTCTCTCTCACTCTCTCTCTCTCTCTCTCTCTCTCTCTCTCTCTCATACTCTCAAGAAAATATACACACTCGCACAGAGAGAGATAATATGTATATTGTAGACATAATTATACGGCTACTCATTTGACACCCCAAACCTATTTCGACATGCGTAAAGATGATAAGTAGAAGGGAAATCAACTTTCGAAAATACAAATAAAAGTGCATATGTGAAGCATGCTGACAAAATGAGTTACTTCTCGGATTCGAGCCTTATGAAAATAGATACATCACGCTTGTAGGTGAAGTTTTTTGGGGGGTTTTTAAAATTAATTTTTAAGTATGAAATAATAAAAGGAATTTTATACTTAAAGAATATGGCATTAATAGAAAATCTACAAATTGACCCTGGTGTCGATGTTTGGCCAATATCTCCTTTTGTGGATTGCGAGAAGTTACTCATTTTGTCAGCACAACTCACATATGGTCTAGATGCACCGACAAAACTAATTAAATGCAAACTTAATTTCTGCAAAATTGCTGTTATGAATGATCTCCTTACGTGATACTTTGCGGGGTTTTTATGTTGTTTATTATTTTATTGTGTTGTTGTTTTTGTTTTTGTTTACGGTTGTTTTTTTCTCACGTTCCTGTGCAGGATCTACAAATAAATGCCAGAGACTCATGTTTCCTTGTTTCGTGCTGATAAGTGCATGTCTGTATCGCCTTTTTCCCTGCCTTTTTACCAGGTGTTGGCGGCAGACAGGGAAAAAAACATAATAAATCACTCAAGTGTTTACCTCTAACTAGATTCGGGAACAGAACAACTGGTACTTTTGTTTTGCACGCTAAAAATAAACCCCACAAGGGGCGCTATGTCGTTGTCAGTGGCTTTGTCGCTTTGTCTCCCTCTCTATCTCTTCTTTCCACTGACTTTCTTCATTTGGATGTCTGTGTGTCTCCGTGTCAGTGGAGATCTATCTGTTCATACGGCGATTTGCAGCTCTCCCTCCCCCCC